CTTCTTTTGGCTGGTTAACTTGGTGGTTTAAAATGGCTGAAATGCACAGTGTTATGACAAGTCTGCCTGTCCTGATTATTTTTAAATAACAAACTTCAAAAGAGAACCTTTACTCGGTACCTGAATCTGTCCAGTGCTTATTGGTAATAGCTTAATGTTCCAGGCAATACACTTACGACAAATGAAAGAGAAAGCCCTTCTGCTAACAGACAATGCCATAAGGTTAAATAAGTTTCAGTTGTGTGATTACTGAGGCTCACACAAGGTCATTATAAGAATATTTAGTCATAAAGTGGCTGGTATAGATTATTAGATTTTCAAGAATTTGCAAGACATTTGTACCCCGACTTGAAGAATATTTGGAAAACTTTGAGAGTTTTTTTCAATAATGACACGTTCCATCCCCCAGTAGACAGCTCCAAATGTACCGCCATGAACGTCACATTCAATGCAGGGCCTGAATCAAAGGGCAGTTCCTGCCATCTCTCCTGAACTTCCTACGCTCCACATAACGGAACATTTTGAAAAATGGAAACAACCAAGGCTGCAGGATTGTATTTATGACAGGGTTTGAAAGTTCTTTGTAATTGAGTATGAAATCCCTTGAGTTAGTGAATAGCCTGAAACGCCAAACTTATTCATCTGCATTGTGCATTGATATTACGTTTCAAATCCCTTGTCAATGACTTTTGAGCATATTTCTATACATTGATTCCTACTTGAGCAATTAGCTACATTTTTTGCGAGTCATCACATCCATATTTCTATCTTATGCTAATTTATAGTTTCTAAGATTCACTACATCAGTCATTAAATTAGGCATTTTCAAAGAGTGAATTAAGAGGATTAATTTCATTTGCTCATACTCCTATTCTAAGTCCAATCAACTATGGAAGCTTTAAATCTCACAGAAGTTTTGTTCCTTTGTATAAAAAGGATCAGGTCAACTGGGACAAGTAGCAAACTAATAAAAAGTCCCATAGACATGACGTTTTAAGTATTTGTGAAAAAAAAAACCTTCAGAACTAGAATAACAAATTAAATTGTTGACAAACTATGAACAACTGTCCATCCGCTGAAAACCAGTCAACAAAAATGACAATGATGTACCCAACAGAGTGATCCAAGGTTTTTCTCTGATACATGAATGCATATTTGTCATTGTCAAAGCAGTGGTTGCCAAACAGTCGATCACGATCGACAGGTTGATTTTTTATGACATCCCAAGCGGGACTGACCCTCACCCACCCCCCGTCATCTTTTACCCTCAGCACCCGGTAGCTCCCCACATAATTTTCTTTTCTAAAAGTAGCTCTGATATTAAAGGTTGAAGACTGCTGCTTTGAAGTATTTAAGTTGGAAGTCTTACTGAGATCAGATCCCACGTTTGAATCAAAGTTAAGCTTCATATTGTTGCATAGCTGCATTATGGGATTGTACACAGCAATGACCGCGTGGCTCTGTGGGGTTTTGTGGTGTTTGTATCCTTTTCAATCTATCTATCTATCTATCTATCTATCTATCTATCTATCTATCTATCTATCTATCTATCTATCTATCTATCTATCTATCGTGATATCTGTACTGTATTGTAACATTTGTCTATTGTCTATTGTGTGATGAATGATATTTCATTTTTTAATATTTGTTTTCTGTATCTAAATCACAATAAATGAAATCTGTTCTGATCATGAAATATCATCTTATCAGTTTGCATGTTATCCCCATGTTGTGTGAGCTTCCTATTGCCTAAAGACACACAATTAGGATAACCAGTGTCTCTGATTTGCCCTTCATCCACGTGCCCTGAATCCCATCCGGCACCCAACTTTGTCTCCCATGCCATGCGCTGTTCTTCAATTACCGATATTCTATGCGTCTGAGAGTGAAAAGAATGAATGCTTCTAAATGAACTTCATGTTGAAGCAGAGGCTCAGGTTCAGCTTATGAAGGTAGAGGACAGTGTGTCAGGCACACCCTGAACCCCAGCCTCCCCTTAAACAGTTTGCCCACATTCTTTGCGCTTCATTAGCTCCAACAACCAATCCATCCTGCTGCAGCCCACATGGATGTGGTAGAACCAAGGACGGCAGCATTGAGAGAGCCATGCTCTGCAGAATGGTGCAGCCAAGCATGAAATCACCTCTCTTCAGCTTTAAGGGCTTACATGGGTTTTTAATGATGAGTCTGTATCTTTTATATGCCAAATATACTCAATGACTCCATTCTTTTCAATGAATATTTAAAGATATGGGGGATGATGAAACGGTAATAAGATTAATGGGATGTGCAAAGCTTGGTTCAGAGCATTTGCTCACTATAAATTAAGGCTAAATCTACCTTTTAAAAATGCTCCCTGCTCTCCAGAACAAGGCAGAATCAGATTACACATCTCGGAAAAGTGAATCACCAGAGGATTTGTTTGCTTGCTTTGATCTGGATAAGCTGCTGCTGTGGTATTTTATAAAGGCTACAGTAATCATTGTACAACATTTTGTAGCTTAACTGTCAGATTTATAACCTTCAGCCAGATCAAAATATTGTGAATTCTGGGGTCCAATGTCAAAGATGTCTGAAGTAAAACATATTAGAACTGGCATTAAAATTAGGCTTTGGTTGGATTGACCTTGGATGTTGACAACTTTGCCCATCACATGTCATAGTGCAGCTGGGACCTCGCATTATTGAAAGGAAATCAGAATGTACAAAGACACACCCCAATTCTGCTCACCCAAAGGAAGTTCCAATATAAGTTTACAGTGGACCCCCATTCTTGCGATTTCTGTAACCATGGTTTCAGTTATTCAAAGTATACAAGTATACAGAGAGACGAGACATCGTGGCTCCAGTTTTACAGAGTACACAGAACAAAAGGCACATAGAATTATTCATGGTTTACCTTGGTTAAAAAACCTGTAAAATTCCAGAAATAAACGGTTCATAAGATTCAAACCCTGTGAATCACTCTTCTCCCTTTGTCCATATGTCCACACTTCCCTGCAGAACTCTCATCCAGTCTGCATCTAGCATTCTCCCTGATTGCATTTGTTGCCACATTATTGCAGTGTATGGGTTATAAAAATGTATAAAAAGCATGGTTTTCATTGTTCCATCATCCCTTGATACATGATCTTTTTTTCATTGCTCTATTTTCATTTGAGAATTATGTCAAAATGTCAGAATCCCATTCATTCAAGAGTACAGTACTGTACGGTACTGTATAATAATGTACAATGTACCTTCTATCATGGACAACACTGTATTTGGGGGGGAACCAATGTAGTAGTACATGCTTACTTAATGCATTAATTAACCAATAACTATGTGATAGTTATATACTGATCCCATGTTCACTCATCAGTAATATTTCATGCAGAAACTATATTAGTTCATGATTTGTTCTAGAGTAATAAATGAGTTATTTGTGTCCCCAGAAGTACAATGTTACCAATTCACATTATATATGGGGTCCATAGATGGTTCGCTTTTATCTGTAGTTTTGGCCATCGTGGTCATGGATCGTATCATCTGTGGATGGAGTGCATTACTGATTTTTCTAGTAACAGAAAATTTATTTGCCTGACCAATTTCTTTCCATTTCCAGAATTCCAGACTGCTGTAATTTTACTCATTGCGTTAAGTTTAATTTTATTTTCCCTTTTCAGTTTTTCGGTTATCGTGTTATTCACTTGCAGGTTCCAATCATTTTATTTCATCCTACACATATTTCAACTCTTTCTGGAATCATCAAAGAAAAAACATTTTAGCACAGCATTGGAAGCTGGCTCTTTGGCTTTCTGAGGGCTTTGTGATGAGGTGAGCAGTGATCAGGAATACATTTCCCTAGCTTAGCATAGTGCAGGCTTGCTGATTCTATTCCAGTGCACAAAGCAGGCCAATCCATAAATGTAACTGAAGCGAGGCTTGCAAGAATTTTTAGAATTAATGATGAATATAACCAATTAAATCCTTAACTGGATTGTTAAATTGAATATGTCTCACTGAATCATTAACATGCAAACATTTAGAGTGCAGAAGGTTGTTCACTTGACCTGTATTCTCGCCAGGATTTCAGCTTCCGGTGCAGATTCTGGCTGTTTGGAATCCTGACTGTTTATTCCACGTGTTACTTGGATTTGTTTCTGGGTTTGATGTACTGAGGTGGTCTGAGGATTTTAAATGGTCTTGTGGTTAATGCATCTTCACCTACTGTATGTTCTCTAAATGCCGCGTTGGGCCCAATATAGGACAACCCAGATTATACTACCTCTCACTTTTACAGCAACTATTTTTGGAAAAAAGGTGTTTTTTTTATGTAGTTTGAAGGGGAATGTGGCTACATTCCAATGTGCATCCTCACATCCTAAAAACTCCCCCCCCCCCCCCAATTTCTCTCCACCTATAACCATTCAACCATTCACTCTAATTTCTTTAACCCAAAGAGACGTATAAGACTTACACCTACTTTATTGGTACACATGCTTAATTTAAGATAGCACCTCGTCATTCAGCAATGACCGTGATTCTTGTATTTGTTGTTCTTTGCTACAGTATTCAGTTTCCATTTACACTTTAATTAATTCATGAGAAGCAGCAATGAATGTGACTATTTTTCATTTATTTACTCCAGAGTGAAAAAAACATATAACAGTTTTGCCTGACACGGTTTGATCTCTCATCCCTGGGTAAGTAACATTCCCCTAGGGCCCAGTAAAAAAAAAAAAAAAAAAAAAGCACCTTTATTATGTCTAGAACGTGTTGATTGTCTGGGTACATTTTCCCCATGATATACATGATTTGAATAATATCATTTCGTCGTACAATGGGAGAAGATGACTCCAGAGCAAATTCTATTATTTGCGGACACGAGGAGCAAGAAGCAGCAAGTGTAAATGCGGCATCATGCTTCGGGAGGATTTCTCCGCCGCCGAGGTGTTGGCTGATTGTTCCCTTATCGCCGCGGCACAGTCAGCGCACCGCGAGGGGAAGCGGGCGTTCGGCTACGCACGTGACGCATCGGGAGGGATGTGGCGGCGATGTGGCTGCTGCGGGCTGCCCGGCATACGCCTGCCGAAATTGCCTGTATCTGATGGGACAGAAAGCTGTCTTTTCTCCGCGTGAGTAGTCAAAGGGAACTGTTATGCAAATGTGACCTTAAAGAAAGTTGTATTTTTAGACAGATCTTATCGGGCCGGTCGATAACATTTCTGAATTTCTCAGAGTTACGAGTGAGTGCAAATATTTCTTATTCAGTTTATATTTATGTGTCATACAACTAATGTGCTATATACGTACATATACAGGGCTCACAGAAAGTTCTGGGATGTTTAATTCTGTAAAAATCTCCCAAATGTATTGACTTCACAACAAAAGTCCAATGACAAGCAATGTTTAACATATTTGTACATATCTTCCACACAGACATTTCCATCTTCTTAAGTGTCATAATTTTTTTTACTAGTTCAATTCTGTTCTTGTCATTTTTCTGTTAATGGCTGTTGTAGTCATTGGCTCCCAAAGGGAATACTAAACACAAATATTTGGTGTTTTATGTTATTGCAAAGGTGTTACTAATTAAAAAGCACCATGTGTGATTGCTTCTCAATGAACTTTTTAACTCAGAGCATTTCTTTCAGAACTATAATTTGGGTTTCAATTTATTGCTACTGAAATGAATGTTTTACTTAAAAGTTCTGATTATTTCTAATGTGATGCATTTTTTGTAAGTCAATGAATAAAGTGATGATTTTTGTTATAAAACAAAAAAAATGCAATCATTCTAAACCAATGTTACACCTTTATTTGAAATAGCACAGCAGATTAATATATATTTAAATTACTGCGGTATGTCATGCACTGTATGGTTTTCGATTGTAAAAATTCGTCAGGCAATTTTCTGACCATCACTGCCTATTTAATTTCCATTAACCCTTTCTGTCCTGCTGTAGGCTTCTTACAGTGTATCAGCTCCATTCTAACAGTTTCCCTTTGCTAATAGAGACAAAGAAGTTGTAATGAAAGAAATGAGATTTTAAAAACTATCGTGGGTGAGCTTACCATTTCCTGTCAGTGAGATCCTAATCACAATTAACACAGTACGTGTTAAGGCTGTTTCCGATTCATGTCCATTAGGATGGGAAATGCATAGAAAAACAATCATGTCTTGGGCATTTCCTTGCTCTGCTGTGGGTGATTTGACAGCTGAAAGTTTAGGTGCAGAAACCGATTGTCTGGAATGATTTGTCATGGAGAGGTGTTGTCCTCCCATTCAGACAGAGGCTGTCCAGCCTTGTGTCTGTCCCACTGACAGCACTGTCAAGACTCCTTGTCACAGTGCTGCTTAGAGATTGGATCAGTGCACCCTCCATGCTCCTTCGGCTTACCGTGAACACCAGAGGTTCACCCACAGAAGGTTAATCAAACGCCCTGACCCTCTGTGAAGCTGTTTCCCTTTCACCTTGACTTGCGTATCTGATAATACTGGCCCGTACAGTCAAAAATGGCTGTTTAGCATTTTACTTTGTCTGCTTGTCTTTGCTTGACTCAGTTACATATTCATAGGAATGCTTCTGGCATTCGCCAAGCAGAGCAGCTGCATGGTGTGCCCAAGCCTAGCTCAGACCTTCACCAGTAAAGATGTTTCTCTACCATTTAATTATTCGGCTTTTGGCTCAATATTCCAGTTTCCTGCCTCTGAAAGATGTGCTTCCTTTGGCAGTGTCCTTTTGTGTTGTTCCTGTTGCTGTTATTCTAAACTAGGTATGGCGGGGTCGGAGGGGTCACGGAATCTCTGCTACTCCTTGTCCTGCCCCCCACATGTGCCTGTTTGTGTGAATTCCACTCCGTTCAGTCATTAAAACATTCGCTTCTTATGCTGTGTGGAATTTGCATTAGAACATAACACATAATTTGCATAACAGCTTGTTTATTATGTAGCTCAAGAGCATATGACACGGTATAAAAAATGATACATATATTTTTTAACAGATGGATCTTCACATTGGAGACATGGCTTGCAAAGAGAAAAACATTTTATGTCATTTTCAAACTTTCTTATGTTCAATTGCTATTACAGTGCTGTGGGAGAGTTATCTATATGTTTTGCACTGAGTTGCAATAGTTGATGCAATAGAAAGTCTTTACTAATCTAATCTGCTAATCTTCGGCCCTAGAGACTTTCAGATACTTTTGTTTCCAGGTCCATCTGGCAGCAATGAGATCAGTAGTGGAAAGATAATGTGGAATATAATGAAATTTGGAAATTTATTATCCTTCTCTGACTTGCAAATAAAAAATTCATGTTTGTTTAGATTGTAATATTCATACTTTGTTACTATGCAAAATGCTGCATGTGGTCATGAGGTTCACCACAGGGCATTAAACAGGATTATTTCTAAGTATTAGTATGTTTGTCTCTAGGTTGTCCATATATATCCATATACAGTATATCCAGTCAAAACTAATATCATCAGTTCAGGGTACCTACATCTTAGATTGACATCAGCTGCTCATTCATCAATAAGACGTCTGAAGCAGAAAAAAATCATCCAATGTTCTTGATTTAAAAATAAGCCAGTTGAGTATATGGGCAACTATAATTGTTTTTTTCTTTTCCCTTTCTTATTGTTTTCCTTGCTTCCAGGCCTCTTTTTCATTTAATCTGTAATGTGAAGACCGTTTGCATGACTAGCAGGACACCGTTCCTTTCTGCCAGACTCATATTCAGATAGACTTGCCCCTCAACTCCAACCACAATACCAAATATAAGCAGTCCTGCTTCTCTGCCATAAAAAAAACAAACTATTCATAATCCATGTTGATTGTTTTTTCTTAACAATAGGTCAGTTAACAAAAATATCTGACACTTGCCTAATATACTTTCTAGTGTGTGCTTCAAATCTCTCATGACTAGCCTGTTACAGGGTAACCCTCTTAGGGACTACCATTCCACATTTATTTCTTGTCTACCACTTAGACACGGGCCATCAAAACCTTTATCACTGAAGCCTTGTGATCACTGAAGATCATTGACATCTCCTGCAGCAAGTTTTTCTTTATGGGTGTGATGGGGGGTGCTTCCTCCTTCATTGACTATTGTAGTCTGAATACCCTTTGTCATTCATCCCCCTAATGAGTTCTCTAAGATCCTCTTAAGTCCTCTAAGATCAACACGAAATGCAACCGGTTGAGTGCCTATGACCTAATCTGCATTTGACAGGGTGATGACCCACAATTTTGAGCATTTAGTAATGCCATTGGAGCTGGCAAATGCCCCTTCTATTTTTCAGGTGTTCATCAACAGTGTTCTTCAGGATATGCTGAATGTCTTTGCTTTCAGATTCCTTGCTGACATTCTGATCTATTTCCTAGATGAGGATTACCATGTAAACATACACGTGAGTGCTTACCAGGAACATGTTCATGTGAAACTGGCGAAGTGTCTTTCACATTACATCAGTCTATTTTCTACACTATATATTTCTTATTTAATAAACAAAGATGGTCCCCAAAAATGTTAAGGTGGTATTAGAATGACCCACCTTAACAAAGGAATACCAATGTTTAGGTTTTGTTAATTTTCACAGACATTTTATTTTTAGATTCAGTTCCATCGCAGCCCTTATGTATCTGATCTGCTGAAAGCTGTGCAGTGTTCTGTAAAATGGTCCCCAAAAGCTCGAAAGTTGTTTGGAGACCTTACATCTGTTTTCATCCTTAAGCATTCTGATCGTACTCAGCCTTTCACAATGCAGGCCAGTGCCTCAGAAATTGGTGCTGGGGCAGCCTTCTCTCAGTTAATTAACAGGTACACTACCAAAACTAAAGAGGTATGCTTAATTCTATTGCCAGTATTCTCGCACAGAGAGATATAATGATATTGGTGGCAAAGATACAGACACCTTTGTCCTGACCTCCCTGTGAGTGATCTAGGATGACTTGACAGTCACCTGCCAGGTCCCTGCACCCACTTCCTGGGCCATCCTGGCCACGGTATCATATCGCCCTTGATTTTATTATAGATTTGTCTTTCTCGAAGCACCACATTGTAATACTCACCATGGTGGATTGATTTTCAAAAGTCTCTCATGTACTTCTGTTGCCTTAGATACTCTCAGCATGGGAACTGGCTCAAGTCCTCTTCCGGCAGGTACTCCATCTATGTCGGATCTTTGAGGGTCCTGTCACTAACAAAGGCCCCCCTTTACTTCCTGTGTACGCATGGCATTTCGAGCATCACAGGTAGCACCCCCATCTGAGTAAAACTGGCATGCAAGTCTGCGCCCCAAGACAGCCGCCTGTGTTTGCTTATAGGCTTGACCAGCCCTGATGCCTATAGGGACTATGGTCTGCATTTCTTTGTGATACTACCCCCAATCCAGTGGTCAGAAGCAATGTTTAAATCAGGAACAGACTGATTTAAATGGTTTAGGTAGATTATATACCTTGTCTGTTCAACCCCTAGGTCAGAGATCCCCAATTTGAGTCCTGGAGGGGAGAGATCCAACACAGTATGCAGATTTCCCTCTTCAAACACACCTACTAAATGTGGTAATTAGTTGATTAAGATGTGTTTGAGCAGGGAAATCTGCAAATTAATCACTGTGTTGGATTCCGGCTCTCCAGGACCGGAGTTGGGGATCCCTGACCTAGAGGTCAAGCCCTTTTCAATGTTTTGGGTTACTAACCTTGTCTGATCCCTCTTGTCCTATCAAGAACCAATACCTTGCCACTGATATTGGCTCCCGCTATATGATCCATTACCTGGTGGATCCCTATTGAGTCAGGGCCAACGTCCCGTACTTGGCAGACTAGGAGAAGTATGTCCTCCAGGAATGTTTTTCAGTCACAGTCCAGGACATTCTGGACCTCGATATTGTCAGTGAGTTTGACTGCCAGTGTCCTGGGAAATCAGCTCTCAGGCCTTGTGGTTGACCTCCTCAGGCTTTCTCCAAAGGGTTGACGGGTGTCACTCCTCTGGGAGGCGGGCTATCATTTCACCATCAGCTACAAACTCGGTTCTGGGTCTGGGTGTTCCAAGAGGGAATGCAAATCTGCAACATCTAGAGGACCAGCAGCAAGCTATAGTGGGTCTATAGGCATCCAGCCACGGAAGCTT